TACACACACACACACACACACACACACACACACACACACACACACACACACACACACACACACACACCCCGCCCTCTCTCTCTCTCTCTCAGAGTTGCTTAAGAGCAAAATGCCTCACAGACAGACATAGTGTGCAGTGGTGAAGAGCACCGGGCCAGGAAGCTCAACCGAGCCTCAAGCCTTACGAGGATGAGCATGCAGCTAACGCTCTGCGAGCCTCAGCTCCTGCATCTGGAAAAAGGGGATGATAACGGTGCCTCCTGGGGGGGTGGGGAAGGCTTTTCAAGCGCCAGGCCACATACCTGGGAGTGAATGAGACCTCAGTCTACACCCTAGGGATTGTTAGTCCTGAGAGATCCCGGGGTGAGGCCAGCACGAGGAAGTGGGAGGGAGGAGCTCGGGGGCTTACCTTCCAGCCAGGAAGGACCGACCACCCAGCCTGAACACGCAAACCCTTCCCGACAGAGCTTAATCGCTGGAAACCCCCGCAGGGGCTGCAGCCCTGGTCAAGGGACTGAAATGAAACATTTACACGGGAGGAAGGGTAGGGCCGCAACCGCCCGCAGGAACTGACAGTCAAGGGGAGGCTGAACGGGCAGCTGGCGCTGTGCTTGGCGGGCTGCTTATTTTGGCCTGGGCGGCATGGAATGAAGGGTGTGTGTGTATGGCGGGGGAGGGGAGGGCAGGCGTGGAGGCGGGCCTCAGGCCCGGGTGACAGGCCTCCCTCGCCCTGGCGCTCAGACGGGCCTGTTTGGACCGTCCATACTGACCGTTAGGGCAAGCATTCCTGCCAGGATGTGGGGGTGCTGGCAGTCACTGGGAGCAGGCAGCCAGGAACTGAGGTGCCTCAGACTCACTGGGCTCCGGCGGCGTGCTCTGGCAAATACCTGAGTCCACAGACAGGCTACCCAGGCCAGCGCTGGCCTGGAGGGCTGGGGGGAGGGGCAGGCTCTTTGAAACCCAATGAGAAAACACCAGAAAAAACCCACCAGGCCCAAGCTCATCAGAGGGGCTGGTGGTGCAGGGGCCACCTTGCGGTTCCTGCTACACTGACAAAGGACTCAGACCTGCGGTCTGCGTCTGTAGTCTTGGTTGGCCAGGGCAACAGACGCCCAGAGCAGCAGAAGCTGTGCACGCACAGCCCCCTGGGGTCATCCCTGCAGAAGAGAGCACAGCGTGGGGTTGGGGAGGCAAAGCTGGGGGTCTCTGTGGGGATCCCCCGAGGAACCAAGGGCTTCTGCAGGGAAAGGGAGCTTTGGGGTCCAGTCCTAAGACTGCTCTCTCCAGTCTCTGCCCAGAGTTGCCAAAGCCTGAGATTCACAGTCCAGGGAAATTTCTCCTCTCATCTGAGCCCATGTAGGGACAGCAGGGACAGACCTGGGAAGGGAGGTGAGCTCATCGGCTGGCCCCAGTGAGATGGGGTCCCCAGGGAAGGGGCTGGGACATGACCCAGCTCTCTTGAGCAGTTCTGATGGTTTTAGGGAGAAGAGTGGGAACGCTCCCTCCAGAAGAACTGGGTTTCCTCCAAGGGCCAGAAATGGGTGGGCACCAAACCCTGAGGATCTCGAGGCAGCCTGGTCCCCACATGTGCCTCCTCATATGCCTCATTATCTCCCTGCCCCTTGAACCTGCAGGCCCTTACCTTCCCCAGTCTTGGACGTGTTGATGTCTGAGTCATCCCGAGTACCATTCTGGGCCTCCAGGTAGGTGGCAGGGACCCAGCCCTGCTCCTCAGAGGTGCTCACGAACCACCAGCCTGCAGAGGGGACAAGAGAGAACACAGTCATGAGTGCCCAGCGGGATGGGGGGCAGGAGGGGACAGGGCACAGAGCTAGACATCCTGGGCACCCAGCAAATGCCTGGGTCACGTCTGGCCTCCAGAAGCCTGTGCTACACTGAGAAGAAGCCAAATGCATTCCCCGCGGGGAGGCCCTGATGGACAGTGATCCACACTTACACAAGTGACGGAAAAATTTAACAATGAGAATGAAACAAGGATATATCAAATGTGTGAAAATCACCCTGCAGGAAAGGCCGAGGACGCTCCGGCTAAACACAGAGACCATTCAGGTCTCTGAAACCCAGTGGAATTACTGGTGTGGTTGGGAGTTCAGCGTTCAAGGCTTTCAGAGGGATCCAGAGATAAATGCGTCACGGTGACCCACGGATGGTGGCTGCACCCCTTTCCCCATCGCGGGTCAGTGGGATTTGCACTTCAGCGCTACTCACGGCTGCCCTTGACTGTGTTGACATGTCAGTCACCCTAAGTGGGCACCACACCCTTGAGCGACCCTTCACGGTCATGGCCAAATGATCAAAGCTCACTGGTTTTCTTTCTTGTTCGGTAGCACGTTCATTTATCACTTAAACAAATGTTGACCAAGCAAAGCACCCTGAGCACCCAGGTCCTGGGCCCCCACCCACTGCCGACCGTCTCTTCTCAGAAGGTGCTCATCACAGGACCTTGTCTTCGCCCCCATCCCACTCCGATCCTTCTCTACGCCCAAAGTCATCTGGCACCAATTCTCTTTTCTATCTACAACCAAGCTCTCTGTTTCCAAATATGGATGGTTCCCTGGCAAGACATCCTGGGCTTCTCCCGGGGCAGCCCAGAGACCCCAGAGATGGCAGGGAGTGGCTGCCTGGGGAGGAGGATATCGGGAGCCTCCTGGCTGCTCCTTGCTGGGAGGCAGAGGCAACTGCCTGAGGGACAGAGGAAAACAGTGGTGCTCCTGCACAGGCCCTCACCATCCTGAGCCACCTCCAGGGTCTTCCGCTAGGTCCCCACTGCCTCACGGGACAGGCCTGGGGGAGCGAGCAGCCTGTGCTGCTGTCTCGAATGCCCACAGCACCTCGCCCTCCCAGGAGTTCCAGAACCCTCTGCATGCAGCTCTGCAAAGCCCCTGAGACAGGTCTGCACGCCACCATGATGACAGATGTGTGTCACTGCCTACTTGTCCACACAGCACCAAGAGTGAACCCCAACGTAAACTATGGATCTCAGTGACTGGGATGTGTCAGCACAGTTTCATCCATAACAAGTAGACAGCTCTAGTGTGGCGGGGGGTAGAGTTCTATGCACGTGTGGGGGCAGGAAGCATACAGCAAATCCGTTCTGCAGCTCGGCTTTGCTCCAGACTTAGAACTGCTCTAAAATACACCAGTCTTAACCAATAAACAGGGAAAGCCTTACACGAGCAGTCTGGAATTTCAAGGCCCAGGCCTCTTTGGCTCAGGGGCCTAAGCTGGGTCCCTGTCCCCTTTGGAACCCAGGGTGGATGCCTTCCCCCACTTCCACTCCCTCCCCCACCAGAGTCGGTCTTTCCCCAGAGTGGGAAGGTGGGGGCACATGAACATCCTGGGCCACCAAGGGGGCTCCCTGGAGCAGCCTGGCTATGCTCCTAGGATCCTAGGCCACAAAGAAACCAGAAGGCGTGGACTCACAGGGGTCTTTTCCCCTTCTCTTGGCTTCTGGGGGAGCACTCTCTGGAACCCAGCCCCAGGGGCTCCTGCAGGCCCTGACCAGAGGCCATGCAAGAGGGTTCCCGCCTCGGAGCTTTTCCACCACGAAGGTGGCTCTGCCTCCTTGACCGCAGGAGTGGGCACACCCGCTCCACCATCTGACCCATCTGCCCTCTCCCTGCACGCTGTAACGGTTCCAGGGCTTTCCCAAGAACCGACACGGGTGCTTTGGTGCACTGAAGGCTCAGTCCCCCGTAAACCAGGAACTGCAGGGCTACGTGGGAAGACATGGAACGAGAGCCAGGTCAGTAAAGCGGCCGCGCAGTCCAGAGATGGAGAAAGTCAGTCCTCACGAACATCATTCAGGTTTCAGGTTCCAAGTGGACTGAAGCTGGACCACCCTGCTGGGCGCCCAAACTACAGCGAGCCCTTGACCTTCCGTGTTATTTAATGAAGCCGGAGCAGGTATCAATCACCGGAACCTGAGTGTCCTCACTAACACCATCTCTACCCAGCAGCCACCAAGGTTCATGACCGAAGGTCCGCCATCGTGAGTCAAAGCTGGTGACAAAATTCAAGTCCACGGGGCATCTGCCCCCACAGACCTCAGCAGGTGGGGACAGGACCTTCTGTTCTGAGCCACTCTCGGTAACCAGTACCTCCCCCAAATTCCCACTCAGCAGGATAACCTCCAAGAGCCCCAAAGAAGAATCACCATAATTCCCAACTTGGAGTTACTTACAGGAGGGTCTTAAAGGCTTGAGTCTCTCCCATGATCCCCAGGTCCAGGCCCCAATGCCGAAAGCACACAGGTTTTGGTTCCCGTACCTCCACGCCCTCACCAACGTGACCACCCCAGTTCTGTCCCCCAAAGCCAAGGCAAATCACAGTGGGCTAAAGAAGTCCCCTGAAGGCTTGCCATCAAAAGGGAGCTCTGCTTCCCAGGAGGGGGCTTCCCCAGGATGGGCCTGGGCTGGAGCCAGGGATCTTACAGTCATCGGAAAAAATGGGGATGTGCCCGAGAAACAGTGGAACTTGGAAGCATGCGTCTTGGTGAGGATTTGCCAAAATCCCTCCATGCGCAGCCCCTCCCAGCCTCGTCTATACCAAGGTGCGCCTCTGCCAAATCCACCCTCAGAAACAATCCCTTTCTGTCTCCACTGGGAGACTATTCCCTCCTTTCTCTGTATGAGCCCAGGGCTTCCCAGGAAATCAGGGAACTTGGTGGTCGCCTGGATGGCCAAAATGTCTTCTAAGCCTTCTGTGTCTGGAATTTGGGCTCCACAAAGCCATCTTCAGTAGAGGCAAAGGAGGCAAGCCCCTCTGTGGGTACCAGGATGGCTGGGGTGGGGGGAGGAGGGGGTGGGAGGGAGAGATTTTCTCCATCAATCCCCACGGAGCTTGTCTCTGTCCTCACCTAGTGTGAACTGAGTCCCATCAGCTTACTGACCTCCTGTTTTCTCCATCTCCCCCCAGCGCCATACTGGGGACCAGCCCCTATATGGGCCTTTCCCCTTGGATCCAAGAACTTCATAATCCCGGGGTTCAGGTCTCTTTGCTGCAGGCATTGTCTCCCCTATCCCCTTACTTCATCCTCTGAGAATCCTTCCTTGTACATCCTACTCTCTCCTTGTCCCCAGAAGCTGGAGTCCCTGACAGTTTTGCTGAGAACAATGGCCTGAGCTTCCACTCCAGCCCTGAAATGTGCAGAACTAGGCTGAGTGGCTCCGAGTCCCGGGTCGCTCCTGCCTCAGGCCCTGCAGAGAAAAGCCTGCTCTTGGCGCGGCTGCAGGCCCCTCCACGGAGCAAAGACAGACAGGCTCCAACACTACCCAGGTGCGCATGGAGGAATGGGGGCAGAGGTGCCCACCCCAGCTCCCTACAGACCTCCCAGGAGCCTGGCACGAGTCACACAGCTGGGCCTCTGGGGGAGGCTCCCTGGGCCCGCGCCCACCCACAGCTGCTGACAAGCCTCTCCCAGATGCCAGCAGCTCAGACGTCAGCTGCTGTAACTGGGGCTCCCGACCAAAGTCCCTTCTGCTCCACTAAGGAGCAATTAAAAGCCTGCACCCCTGGGGTTGGCCTGGCTAAGAGGGCTCCAGCATCAGCCAGCCCCTCGGGACTCCCTGGCTCACCTCCAGTGCCCACTGCATCCGCACTTCCACAGAGGCGGACACGTGTGGGCTGCATATGGGGGTAGGTGTGGACAAGGCTTTGTATTTCTGAGTACACGGGAGTGTGCTACGCCTGCATATGTATCTCCGTGGGGGTGTGCATTGGTTCTATGTGATGATTACGGTCAGACGCAATCTTTAGATACAGTATTTAATCTTAAAGAACCTCATGAAGTGTTACTGTCATCACCATCCCCATTTTACAGGTGAGGAAACTGAGGCAAAGTTCATGATTAGGAAGAGGCAGAGCTGGACCTCAGTGACCCAGTGACCTCAGTGACCCAGGCAGTTGGGCGCCAGGGACAGTATCTTCATTGCAGAAGTAGATAAGGAATTTGTCTGGTGTGTGCACAAGGGCAGATGTGACTCCTTGAGAACACGTGCCCCTGGACACTGGTACGTGATACCTGTCGCTGAGCGTGTGATTCCCGTGTGTGTATGCCAGGAACCGGGATACAGGGCTATGTGAACTTGAGTGTCTGTATACAGGGGATGGTCCTCTGGAAGTAGAAGGTAATACATTAGGGATCTAGGGTCCGAAAGACAAAGTCAGGTCCTGGCTTGCTACTTCCTGTGTGATCTTGGGCAAATCAGTAAACCTCTCTGAGTCTCAGTCTTCCCTCCCTGATATGGGGATGATTAATGGCGCTTACCTCCTAAGGTTGAAGAGGACAAATGAGATGAATGTAGCTTAGCCTGGGGCCTAACCCAGACCTGGAGGTCAAAAACCTTGAGCTGTTATTAACCGGATGGTGGCTTTGATATTCCCCTAGGCTAACAGCACGGGTGCCCAGGTGCTGTCTGCCTGCAGAGTAGATCAGGAGACGCTCATTACAGCTTGGTGAATGGACTTGCGTGTGTGTGTACACGCACGCTTGCACGCCCACGTACCCATGTAGCTAATCTGTGTAGTTCAGGGACTGCCTTCAGGGGTTCCAGAAGAATGGGAGGGGCTACCTTTTGCTCTTTCCTTAGCTGATGCAATTCATGAGAGCAAGCACGGTGGGAAATGGGACCAGGGAGAGGTCTCTGGGGTTTCCCTCCCTGCTCCACACGCCAGGGTTATCCTCAGCCTGGCCCCTGTCCCTCAGCTCACACACGGCCCCAGGACAGAGGTCCT